CTCAAATGTTTTTTTTCCCCTTACCGATTTGATAGATATCCTCATGCGTCACCTTTGGCTGCTCTCTGTGCTCCAGTGAAATTTTTTGCTCATATTAAAACTCCAGCGCGAAAATTTCACAGGAGCACAGAAAGCTGTCGAAGATAATCTATTTGGTGTGCGAGGGTGTCTATCAAATCGGGAAGAAATAAAAACATTTGAGTAGGACAGTTTGAGCGCGATATTACGACACGCGCTCGCTAGTTTCGTATTTGCTCTCGTGAGTGGGATATTCACGCAGGTTTATATTTCTCACTTTGTGTTTTATCACCTTTTTCGACATGGGTTTTGACATGAATGTGACGCCATATTTATTAAATAGGGGAGCTCCAGTTTAAAATAATGGTGTGTGAGTAATAATTACTGAAAACACCAATAGTACAACTTGAAAATGCCTGCGAATGTACATCACTAACAGAAAGTCTTGGGACTCTTGCTTAATTCAGTAAAAATATTTCAAATGTGTTGGTTTTATAACAAAAATAATTACTTTATTAACTTGTTCACAAAATATATCACAGTAGAAATAACCAGTAGTTTTAAGTAAAACATTCAAGTAGTAATAAACTGAAGCCGTTCTTAAACATTGCTAGTCAATGGATTTTTGTTATGAAACCAAGACATTTTTACAGAATTAAGCATGAGTCCTAAGACTTTTTGTGAGCAGTGTATCTATAAGGACGTAAGAGATGTTTAGTAACCGTGGATGTATGGTTCCCCTCGTGCCGCAGGTGCTGGAGGAGGACCTGGAGCGCAGGCGCAGGGAGAAGCAGGGCACGCGCAGGCGAAGCGAACCAGAGCCGCGCAGCGCCACCCGCCGCAACCGCTTCTTCCCCAGCTTCACTTGAGGAACACATGCACGGACATAGGCGATAACATACACACACGCTAAACAGATGAGAACCCGATTTACAGAGACATAATCCGAGTTTCTCGGCAGTAAGCTGTCCCGATATAAATGAACGGATATTGGTCAAACTAAATAGAGCCTAACAGATTAATTCTGAAGTTGTAAATATTAATGTAATATTGTTCAAACTTTGTTATGTAACATTTTTTACTGAATAAAACTGACCTGCGTAATGTGTTATTCTGTTACAGTTGAATGGCGGTTCATTTTCACCTCGTGTCCTGTGCCGTAGCCGCTCACAGTTGTTCTATCAACAGTTATTCCGAGTGGGGACAATGACCGTGTTTAAAACAAGCGGCTATGGAAGAAATGAATGAATTTCCTAACTGGACGTTTTGGCTTAAGAAAATGGTATCTGGTGTAAGTGAAAAAAATAAGCCTATTAGGCAAACTAAACAATTACAGCTCCATATTTCGTTGGTTACTCTTCTTGTTGTTTTAGGGAACTTTACAGATGATCAGAAACCTGCCACATTCTGTGTATTCTGTTATACAGAGAACGCTATTATAATATGTAAGGAAACATAAAACCACACAAATCCATTATGTATATTAAAATACACCTTACAGCTCAAAACTTACTGTTCATCCTGGTTGCAACGGTATGAAAAATTCACAATGTCATAACTATATCCCAATATCACCATTTATAAATCTTCCTGCCACTCAATAACACAGACATCTCACCTTAAGCTTTGGCCCTTATTGATTTCAGGGAGATGGATAAATGACAACCAGGACCCGCTGCCTATGGTTATCTTATTCTAATACTGCATAACGCTGAATTTTTATTAGAAATGACCCCCAATCCCTGCTTGGCAAATTCGATCAAGTTAATAACGGAGTAACTACGCTTTTTAAAATGGCATAAAAATACCATATACCATGGTGTAATGTCTTCACGATATGATGGTATTAAAATGACAGAGCGATGGATTCTTTCCCTGGCACCTGCGTCATTCGCAGGTGCCAGGGAACCTCTGTCAATTTGCAAGAGACTCCCAGAACTTCCGGGAGAGGTGTGAGGTCTGCAGACATACACTACAAGGACAAAGGTATTGGGACACCTGGCCATTACACCTAGAGGAACTTCAATTACATCACATTCTAAATCAATATGGAGTTGGTCCCCCCTTTGCAACTATAACAGCTGCCACTCTTCTGGGAAGACTTTCCACAAGATTTTGGAGTATCTCTGGGATTTTTTTGCTCAATCATCAATCATTCAGAGGAGCATTTGTGAGGTCAGGCACTGATGTAGGATGTGAAGACCTGGCTTGCAATCTCCATTCTAGTTCACTCCAAAGGTGTTTGATGGGGTTGAAGTCAGGTTTCTGTGCAGGCCAGTCAGGTTCTTCCACAGCACAATGAAAAAGTTGGGGATCCCTTGGAAAGTCGACCCACAGGGTACTTCCAAATGACTGAAGATTAGTTTCTATGCCTTTATGGACCTTGCTTTTTGCACTGGGACACAGTCATGCTGGAGCAGAAAACGACCTTCTCAAATCCGTTCCCACAAATTTGGAAGCATAGAATTTCCCATAATGTCTTGGTATGCTGAAGCATTAAGAGTTCCCTTCACTGGAACTTAGGGGCCTAGACCAACCCCTGAAAAACAACCCCATACCATTACCCCTCCTCCACCAAACTTTACAGTTGCCACAATGCTGTCAGGCAGGTAATGTTCTGGCATCCACCAAACCCAGACTCATCCATCAGACTGCCAGACAGAGAAATTTGATTCGTCACTCCACAGAACACGTTTCCACTGCTCCAGAGCCCAGTGACCTGGTGTTTTACACCACTACATCCAACCCTTGGCATTGCTCTTGGCAATGTGAGGCTTGTATACAGCTGCTCAGTCATGGAAGCCCATTCCATGAAGCTCCCGGCACAGTTTTTTTGATGGGGTTAATGCCAGAGGACATTTGGAACTCTGCAGTTACTGAGTCCACAGAGTGTTGGCCACTTTTACGCTCTGCACCTTCTGTTGTTCTATAGTTTCTGTTGTTCCTAAATGCTTCCAGTGACCATGGAATATCTAACAGGGAAGAAATATCATGAACTCACTTATTCAAAGGTGGTATCTTATGACAGAACCACACTTGAATTCACTGAGCTCTTCAGAACGACCCATTCTTTCCCAAATGTTTGTAAACCTGACTGCATGGCTTGGTGCTTGATTCTATGCAGCTGTGGCAATGGGTCTGAATGAACTCTGCAGCTGTAACAGCTGCCCCTCTTCTGGGAAGACTTTCCACAAGATTTTGAAGTGTGTCTGTGGGAATTTTGGCCCATTCATCCAGGGGACCATTTGTGAGGCCAGGTACTGAAGCTGGGCGCAGCCCCAGTGACAAGCAAAGGTGCAAATTGCTACTTTTTCCTGACACTGTATTAGTGATAGTGTTGTAGTACTCGAGACCGGTCTTGAGACCTCTTGGTCTCGTCTCAGAATTGACTTTATTTTAACTCAATCTTGTCTCAGTCTCGGCCATAGAAAACTCGAAGTTTTATTTGAAGACCAGTCAAGACCACCCATCAAAATGCCTCAATATTTATCACGACTTCTTAATTTTAATTTGTTTGCCCACACAGTTCTGTGATTGGGTATAAAATGTCTTGCTTCAAAGTTCAAATACAACCAATAAGGTGCGTCTTACTTGAAAAAATATAACATTTGTTAGCATCTATATTCAAATTCTAAGAAAAAACATCCATGGCTCAAATAATTTTACAGCATTTTATAAAAATAATATTGTGACACCAGTTTTAGGCAATACTTCCTAGCCCCAAGATGGCGCCTGTGCTCCACATTCTGTAGTGTGTTTTTTATGTAGACTCAAACATTAGTCTGTTCCTGATCTTGACTTAGTCTAGCCCTGCCTTGATTGTGGTCTTGTCTCTGTCTTACCCTGCCATGGTCTTGGTGTTGTCTTGGTCTTGATAAACTCTGGTCTTGGTATTTTATTGGTAATGAATGAAAATGTACATTTACCCTTGAGGGTACAGCCCCAGTGACAAACAATGGTACAAATTGATCTCTTTTTTTCTGAAAGGGTTGGTGTATGAACAAAGCCCACCTTGGAGGTTTAAAATCATCATAGACATCATTCAATTCTGGTTTACCAGAATTTCCAGTGATACATTATCGTTACCAGAATCTCTCAGGACACTATGGTGTTATTGTAGTCTGTTTTCATGTGTCCAGCTAGTGTCTGTTTTTGACTCTGACCCTGCCTAATCTACAGTAACATCTTGTTACTACCATGTAACATCTTGTTTCATTAAACTTTTGCCTGACCACGGACCTGGATTTTTCAATTTGACATTTCCATGGGCGATTCTAGACCCAATTTGGAGGGGTTTCAGCCATCCTATTCTTGTCACAATCCCCCTGAAAACTTATCTAAATTCATTAGGGGATTTGTCTTGTTTTTTCCCAAGGGTCAAATCCTAGAATCACACCAGCTACCAAATACCAGTCCATCGTCTGTTCTTCAAACCAACTCTGTTAATATGAATTTTACTTTTCAACACACCAAAAAGTGCTTGCCTCTCTATTCCAATTGCTTAGCTGAAAATATTTGTGTTATTTTCAAAAACTAGCCTAACACTCCTCTGTTAATAATGCTATGGTAGCGGTTTTTATGCTACTTAACCTTTTACAGCAGTTGATGTGGTTGTTTCCGCAGTTTGCCACCAGATGGCGGCATAATTACGATGTGACCAGCAGTAAAAAGACAATATAAAAAGAACCAAACCTTGAGCTGACCCACAGTTCAAACTGATTAAAGTTTAATCAAACTTAAAGATGTCATTTACAGGAAATCTAATGGAATGAGCGGTTAGTGATCCATCACAATACAATATTACAAACACAAACTGACAAATGTGACAAACAGCAAGTACAAAGGGTTGAAGTCCTCTGTGAAGATGGCTGATGGGCAGCTCATGGAACTCCAGCTCACAAGGTCTTTCAAAGTGCTCTAAGACATAAACAAGGAATTTCTTTTTGTGAACATCAAAGTTTCAGTCAGTCATGTTGCACTGCGTTGCACCATAATGCAAAAAGTCTTTATGAAAATTGTTTTCCTGTCATTGTTGGGAAGTTTTTTTTAATCTGAATGGATGGTCCTGACTGAGGCAGGAACTTGGAAATGTGTTCAATTTTTTCCAAAGAAAAGCAATTCTTGGGCTACGGACTGTTGACACAACGCAAATTCAATGCGATCTTCGACCCAGATATGTTTATTGGCAACGGGGTCTTTGTTATGTGGCGGTATTGAAAACAAATATCATGGCGGAAAGTGTGGCGGTCGGGCATAGCTCCAGCACTGTGAGACCTTGGCTACTTCCACGCTGCACTGCGCACGTACTCCTTAAGGAGCCACTGACAAAAAAAACACAAGATCAAGGCACTACCAATTATGACTTCACAAAATATGCCCATGTTAAACTACCATGAGCATTCTCAATGGTCTGGAGTCTTCGAAAGCATTGGCAAAAACAAAAGAAAAACGGCTTTATTATCATCAGAAAGGGTCACCGACGTCTCAGATTGAGTGGTCCACCCTGATAAAGGGTTACGATTGCGGTGTCCCATATAATCGATAAAAAGGAAGACTGACCTTCACTGTGATTTGTTCGACATAGGATGTGAGACAGGATTTGTGTTCAATGTAAAATATCTTTGGTTTTTTTAGGTCATTTTTTCCAAGCATTTCTTTAAATCCAATTCATTCAGAATGTTAAGCACCAACCTTTTTTTTAATACCATGTGCCCAGTCTGAAATTTTCCTCTTAGATTTTGCCTTATTTTTACTCCTTAACTGAGTAGTGTATGTCCCTCTGTGGTCTATTTCCCACAGGTTCAGGACCTCTGAAGAGTGATTTCCTGGATGTTTTACAGTAACCCACAAAACTGATGTTAGTTTTAACTATGACTGATGAAGGAAACTGGGTCAGATTTGCTGTTCAATATAAAATGGTGTCTTTGGATTTAGAATGAGAAGCCGATACGTGTGATTTATCTCCATTTCCAAGAAATGGTCACACTTTACTTGCGTTGACATGAATGACTTAGTAGTACATGCTTACTTATTGCATTAATTTACCAGTAAAGTGTAATGTAAGTACTGATCCAATGTTCATCCATCATTAATAAATCATGACAGTTCATGTATTTCATGGGGAAAC